AGAGCTAGCTCCCGAGGCGCACGGCAGCCTCCATGTTCCCCGCATCACAGCACAGAGGCGGGATCCCTCCCAAAATCAGCGCCTTTACGATCACCGCAAGGACGACCCTGTTCAATCTCGTTCTCGCCTGCCCATCATCCAATGATATGCGCCAGCAAGCAGCCTCGAAACCCTGGGGCAACTGCGGCCCCACCTCCTCCACCTCTTCCTATGCCCACTCGATGGCCTCTTCGAGTTTCACTTTGTCATCAGGCGCTACCGATAATTCGTCAGCATCCTCCGCAGTCTTTGACGTCCATGGGAAACCCAAGGATGACGCCGGCAACAATGCTTTTGCCGTCCAACTGAAGAAGCTGTACAGGAACATATCAGCCTTGGAGTCGAAGATCCTGAACAAAGATGCCGACGACCATGCCGACGAAGGACGAGTGCTCCTCCAGAGCCGCAGTTGAGGTGTGTCGGAAGATGAAGCTGAGCAGACGAAGTGGGTTGGGAACATATCAGATCATAAACAGTAAGTTCTCGTGTCATTCCCATCGTCTGCACTAACACTATCCTTATCAGACTTGCGGAGCTCATGCATACTCTGATGGAGATCTCGCTATCACCAAGCATTCCGGCCTCACTGCGGGTCATTCCCACCAAGTACAACATCATCATCCGACTTTGGACCCACGGGTTTCACAAAGTATTGGAGAGCCTCCGCCGTGCTTCCTTCTCGTCACCCATAGCTCTGGAACATCTCCAGGACTTCATCTACTTTGCTTACACCTTCTACACCGGCCTCCTCGAGGAACCGGCCCTCCGTTCGTTCCGGGGAGGCTGGTTGGAGGCACTCGGGAATCTTGCCCGCTACTGAATGGCCATTGTGGCCATGGTCAACAACAATCAGATCGCCGGCGCCGCACTTACTACCAATGCTGTCTCGCAAGCAGCAGCAAATACTGTTGACGATACGCTCAAAGGCCCGAAGTCTCATACCAGTGCTAAATCTAGTGGCAACCGCCCCGCTGTTTGCATCGACGACTCCCCGACACCCAGCGTGGGCATTGTCGCTGCACGAAACATGGTGGTCGAGCCTGAGAAGGAGCGGTGGAGGTGTATCGCCCGCGATTGGTTCGCTCAGGGCCTTGCTGATACACCTGGCGCTGGCAAGCTACACCATCATCTTGGTTTGCTAAGTTGCGAGGTGGAGGCCGAAGAACTGCATGCCGTCTATCATTTTGTAAAGAGGTGAGTTCTTCAATGAACATCGGAGTCGAGGCTCATTTCGATACAACAGTATGACGACACTGCATCCCTTTTCAACATCCCGCGAGTCTATCCTTCCAATTTGATCGTTAGCGGCACAAACACGTCAATCGCAGCCAGACGCTCGTGCCCCCGAGCTATCTGTTCTTCTACATGGCATGCTCTTTACCAACATCCAGCTCAATGATTTCCAACCAACACTCGCTCGCTTCCTTGAACGCTTGGAGATCAAACGCGCCGAAGAACGTGAATGGACCATGATGGCCGTCATCGATATCAGCTCACTTCTCGAGTATGGCCGCCCAAGTGGCCTGCTTCGGAAGATTGGTGCATCCGGCACCCGAGACATCGGGTCCAGCAACGTTCGTGTAGCCAAACAACCCCCTCAGCAGAATGGGATGGATGTCGACGAAGATGGCGATGAAGACATGAAGCCCTCTCCTGCAATGTCGGAACCCTTGGTTGGAGCAGAGGCACCGCTGCAACTCAAATTTGCTATGCAGCTTGCATTCACCATGCTGTCATTTGTCCTCAAGAACCCACTACGCAAGAACTTGTAGTTCTCCCGGCCTTCCGTCAACTCCTATATCCCTGTTATCCTCACTTTTCTTGCCAGTCTTGAAACAGTCCGACATCCTGTCTACCTTGGAGCGATCCGTGCCTTGGGAAGAACTTGCGAATTTCTTCTCTTCTCTCCCTCAAAACGTGATGATTAATCAGGGTCTGCTCGTCTCGTCTCTCGGCGATAAGCCCCTGTCGTAAAGGCGCGGAGAGGGATTCATGACGACAACCAGTGCTCCCTTGGATACACGGAAAGAACCGATATGTTTCAACCTTTGCTCTTTCTTTCTCCCCGTTCTCACACTCCTTTCCCTCTCACTTTTTCCCCCTTTCTTTCGACGCTACACTCGTCCTCCCTTTCACTCATTCTTGGCGCTCATTCTTTCGCTCTTTTTCTACTTCGACGCTCTGCTTGTCGGTACTGTTGTTCTTCTCAGTGCCGTTTCCCCTCATTTCTCACTTCCACACTGCAGTATTCCCTTTTCATATCCATGGCGGCAAGAAATTCTCCCTGGCAGAATGCTTTCCGCGCACTACCTTCGAAGGGGCAGACCACCACTTCGTCACGCACCAAGGTCATTTCTCTGTTCAACATGCCAGCACCTACTGGCAAACGAGTACCGTCAGAGATACTCGACGAGAATGCCCCAACACATACTCCCATCCCTGCCGTTGAGCTGGACGACGACGACATTGTGACAGACTCCGACTCAGAGCTTGCAACCCCTGGCTTGACTGGCACCAAAAGACGTAAGAATCTTGACTTGACGTTTACGCCTCGTCGCGCGAAACGACTGAAGACGTTTGGTCGGGATCTCTGCAACGAGGCAGGTATCTCTGAAAAGGCTCTCGATTCTTTCACCTCCGTAAGTCGCTTCCTTTAAGCGTATTGTCTTCAAGGCTATGCTAACTCCTTCTCATAGCTCCCTAGCCTCGACTTCATGATGGTCGCAATGTACGCGCGTTTCGAGAAGGTGGACGCTGCGTTGCAAAACAACGGCAACATGAAGCTGAGACAGCTACTGGAGGATGCGAACCTTCGGGTATCTCTGTCATGTTTGTGCCTGGCCACGCGCTGACTTGATTCCCCCAGAAAGACCTCAATAACAATATCTTGCTCTGTCTCTTATCACCGTACTTACCAGCGTATGTCACTGGAACCTTGGATCACTTCACGGTGAGTGGTTCCTTTCCCTAGCCACATCTTTATAATACTGACGTTACTCGAAGAAATTTGTTTGCGACAACGAGAGTATCTTCAAGATTCCCAAGGAGATGTTCGACGATTATGGGCTAAGGGCAACACTCTCGAGGGCCATCGGGAAGTTCCTGGACACTCACCGCTATAATATGAAGGAAAAGGTACTACTACTTTTGTTACTCGCTGTCTCGCTATCTCTGATCCTTTGCTTCGTAGTTGACTGCAAGCTGTGTCAACACCACCAATATCCTCACGTTGTCCAAGAACGTTGCTGATAAGATTGAAATTAACATGGAGTATCTCACCCGAATCGCATTCTTGGTACGTATTTGATAATATTGCCTCGCTTAAAGGCTCATCTGTGTTTTCTAGCGTTTTTGCTTCCGTCTCCACAGCATCCTTTGCAAGGATGTCATTGTCGAATCCAATCCTAGTTTCTATTGCCCCCTCTTCGACAGGTACATTCCTGATGTCACCTGGAACTGGCTTCGCGGCTGCGTCAAGGGACTCCCGGAGCGTGTAGTTGAAGTTGAACACGTGTCTGAGACCGCCAGTCCGAGTAGCAACGCGGATGGACCTACCGAAGACCAAGAGGATGGCCAGGAGTCTCCGGATCGTCCCGACTTCTCCTATCTCGAGGAAGAGCAAGGAGATAGCTCAACTATCGCTCAGAACAAGAAGGGAAGTTCTAATGAGGACACGGCTGTCGGGCCTCTTAGCGCTCTTTTAACGGCGGGGAAGTTTTGGAACTTCGTCGACTGGATGCTGACCACGTTCCGAAACGAGGCTCACGAACGTTCCAAAGGCTCTCAGATTGCCTTCAATAATGATGTCAAACAGTAGGGTATTCTTTCTTTCGCAAATATACGTGCTAACTCTGGTTCTTCGTAGCATCCTTACGAATATATTTACGCAAGATCTGGTTGATTATTCAAACTCCAGTCTTCCGTACGGTATCAGCAAGGAGCCGCTCCCGCCGAAGCAACTTTTGATCAACGAGAAGCTCATCTGGTAGGCGGGAAATTCGATACGCGACTGCGCGCCGCTTTACTATTAGATTACTCTACGCATAATACAGTGTTTTCCTTCATCACGAGTATTCTAAGAACGTCAATAGACCTGCTGCGAAAGCAGGTCTGATGGGCCTCTCGCTCTCGTTTCGTGAGTATCAATGCAAGCTCGGGAGCAAGCTGCGGTCAACCCCAGTTCAGCCTTGAGATTCGCACCTTGACACAAGGTTTGGGCCCAACCTTGAAAGGAGCTTGGAATCACACCTTGAGCGAAGGTTTGGATTCAACCTTGGGCCAAGCTTGGAATCACAATGGCCAAGGCACGGTTTGGACCCAACCTCAGACCAAGCTTGGGATTACGACGGCCAAGACACGGTTTGGACCCAACCTCAGACCAAGCTTGGAATTACACCCCCGAACCACGGTTCGGCATGGACCTCATGACAACGTGGCTATGACAATGCTGATACGGTATCCCAGAGCCGACGTTGTTTCGCGGTTGTTACCAAGGTATTCGTAGGATACTGACATTCTACCTTTGTACTAGTAGTGTGGCCATCTTATTCAAGCATCCATTGGTTGTTGAGGAAATACCCGACATCGGATGTTTTGCTAAGTTTGAATTCAATTCTCCGGTCAATGTCTGCGATATCGGCTCATCTCAAAAGTGTGTGGTAATCAAGATGTTTAGTGTGAGATAAACTCAGGGGCTATTATTTCTGACATATTCAAGAGGGTGGATCAAGCGGTATAATATGCTGACCCTTGGTCCTGGTACTCTTCTATTTCCTTTGATATATGTCATGAAGGCTTTCCCTACTTATCAGGTACTTGTACAGCGATCTGTGGGTTATCAGCAAAGTTAAGAGGTTTAACACTATGTTACTCTGGATATCCTATGGCATCCATGACTCTGATGGTAGATCAGAGTCTATATTATCCTTTCTAGCCCTTAAATATACTGGATAGAGTCCAATAGATTGAGTAAAGCACCCAGATCCTTGTCCTATAGCTGTAAATGTTGGAATTGACAAGGTGTCGCGCAGTCCGACGGCGCCCCGACGTCGGCCGTGTTCCTCCATCGTGGTCGCAACGCAGGCGATGCCAGATTTCGGTGGCATCGACGTTGCGACGCAAGCGCCGACATCGGACATGTCAACATCGCGATTATACCCTTTTCATATATGTTTCCTGTCGTTTATTTGATATTCTGACTGCACGTTCGTTACGTTTCGTTCTATTCGATTCCCCGACGTTCCTTTTCATTGATCTCATGTGTTTTTCGTGGTCATTTCTTATGTGTCATTATCTCGGCTTCGTGATACCGGAGATTCGTAGAATCTCACTTATACCAGACGCATTTCGATAGCAGCACCTCAGCGTTCGCATTCCCCGCGTTACGACTGAGGTGAGACCGTCTATTTATTGCATACCTAACCGATTGCTTACATTCCTTTGTAGTCTAACTGCTACTGTGTATTTAGGTGAATACAAACCGAGCGTTCGCATTCCCCGCGTTACGACTGAGTCTAACTGCTACTGTGTATTTAGTTACCGCGCGCTGCTGCTTCGTAACCTCCCAGAGTAAATCAGTCAAAAAATGTGTTACAGTGCACATGTTTTTATGTTTCTTGAGTATTGGAGCTCACTGAGAGGTCTGATGATGCTTTGGAGAGTTTCTACGGACTTAGTAACCATGAAGGTATGTATTACAGAAGACAGGGAAAAGACCGGGACTTGGGAACCCGTAATTATATAAATAGATGCTTAAACCAATGTGCATTGAGGTGGATTCATGCATGATCAGAGTACCTTTTTTAAACCTCTACCTGATCCTCTCAGAATCTTCTGTGGAGGCTTTATATATGCTAAGAGACACCCAAAAAATACACAGGTCCTCAGCCATCGTCTCGATGAAGTATATTCTTCAATAACCATGTCATTTTCTGCCAAACTGACACACTTTTCATTATTTTATGTGTATATCATGGGATATAGGGTATCAAAATAAATATAGGAGTGCATATCAGGTGCTATGAGCATTGAAAAGTGCGAATATAGACTCTGATCTACTATCAGAGTCATGGATGCCATAGGATATCCAGAATAACATAGTGTTAAACCTCTTAACTTTGCTGATAACCCACAGATCGCTGTACAAGTACCTGATAAGTAGGGAAAGCCTTCATGACATATATCAAAGGAAATAGAAGAGTACCAGGACCAAGGGTCAGCATATTATACCGCTTGATCCACCCTCTTGAATATGTCAGAAATAATAGCCCCTGAGTTTATCTCACACTAAACATCTTGATTACCACACACTTTTGAGCGGTTTTAACTGACTATATACGCTATCTAAGCTATATTGTATGCTCAGAGGGTCCCGAGAATGCCCAGAAACCATACCAATATTCAAAACATTGATATACAGTATGTCAGGAAACATACCCAAAAAGGGAGGGATAGCCAGGCTTATTTCTTCCTTTATTAGTATAGAACGACTCTAAATAGCATATGGAAACTACTGGGAAAAGATCGGTACAATTTGGTAAGGAAATGACTAAGATCTCGTCGACATCGTCGGGGACAGTGACAAGAGGAGGAAGAGGGTGTTTGACACCGCGGGAAACAGCGTCAGGCACGCGGGGGGATGTGGCGGCCACGCGCGGAATTGTACCGACGAGGCGGGAAATACGCGTTGGGGATAATGACTAATGCGACACAGCCAGCCGAAAGAGGGTGTTCTGTGGCTGAGTCTGTAGTCTGGCTGGGTAATTTGCTGGTCTCGACCAGCGGTCCGTCTTTTTGGCCTATAGGCTAGTCCCGAACCAGACGCTCTTGATGACGGAGCTTTTTCGGCCCTATGGGCAGCTCCGCATATTGGTCTGAGTCATGTAACTGACAAGGAGCAGAGGCAGTAGCAATGAAATATGTCAATTTGTCTAAGTCCCGAAGTTGCTAGCTATAAACCTACCGTTAACCTTCTTAACCATAGCACGGTAGCGCAGTAGGTGACTTCTTTTACTTCTACGCAGGAGTCGCGGGTTCGAACCCAGATGCTTTTTTCTCGCTTGTCATTCGCGTTGCTTCTCTCGTGAATTGCACGGTCCGGCGCACGTGACATCACGCGGCCGATGCCGAAGTCGCGCGGGACAGTGTTTGTTGCAACACTGTCCCGCGCGTCGCGTCACGACTCAGGGGCGTTCGCGTGTACGTACCCCGTCGCATCCTCGCTCGCCCTCCCGACGCAAGCGAGCCAATTGCTGGCCCGCTAGCGCTCAAATCCATAATTCCCGGATATGCGCTACACACATACTTTAGTATTTAAGTTGGAAAGATGCACACAATGAATAAATTATATTGCAAAACTATTCTAAAACTACATGTATATGAGTGTAGTAAGCAATAGCCGGGATGCTGGAGGGCTGAGGGTAGTGATGAGTGATGAGGGGTGGAGAAGGATGAGGGTCAAGTGTGGGGGAGAAGGGGGGAGGGCGAGTGCGGAGGACAGAACCAGGGGAGAGTTAGAATACATGTCACCATGCGAATAAAAATAAATAAAAACAATGGGCTTACCGAAGACACAGCCGCGAAAGCGGGCAGCTGGACAGTGTTTTGGCGAAGGGCAAGCGAGCTCGGACAGTGTGTCTGGCCCTTGCAGGGAGCTGATTCAAGTGAATTCAGCGGGGGAAGCAGGGATTTCACGCGTGAATGCAACAGGCTGCAGACGGAGAAACACAGTCCCGCTTAGTGGACTGTGTAAGCTGTCACAGCATATGTCAGTACCCCGAACGCGTGCGGCCGGCGGCTAGATAGCGAACGCACCTTGGTGTTGTGCCCTTCCCGTTCTCCTCCCCTGCTCTTGTCCTCTCCAAGTCCTCTCCCTCGCCTGTTCCCCCTTCCTCTAGCGCTCCCGATCCCTCGGTGATATGCTTGTAATCCCCAGGTACGTTCCTTTTCAGGCTGCTATGAGGACCGACGGCGGCAGCGGCGGCGGCGGGCATAACACGATGCAGGGCTGGGAGACAGCCGAGGAGCGCGGAGGCTGATCCGCTCACGCCTCACGCGCAACG